TTTATAAATGACATTGAACTACAATTGGATGTCACTTTTCTTTTATATGCGGATGACCTGAAGCTTCTCTGTCCCATTCAATATCTAACTGACTGTGAAAAGTTACAGCATAACGTAAACATGCTCAACTGCTGGAGTCAGGAAAATAGTTTGCCATTGAATGCTGAGAAGTGTAATGTGGTCAGTTATACGAACCATACACAGTCGATCATATTTGGCTATGATATTGGTGGTGTGCCCCTTAATCGATTGCATGAAATAAAGGATTTAGGTGTCATTTTCAACAGTAAATAATGCTTCAATGGTCATATGGATTCAATTATTGCAGAGAGTTACAAAAAGCTGGGCTTCATCATAAGCTGTGGTTGCGATTTGCAAGATATTAAAACAATTAAGCTTCTATATAACTCACTTGTAAGATCGAAGCTTGAATATGCGGCAATTATTTGGCAGCCCTCCTACTGCTTCTGGATAGACAAACTCGAAAATATCCAACGGCGTACCTTTACTTTAAGGAAAATGGCATCTACCCACCGATTGGCTATCCACAAGAGTCTTTAGAAGAAGCTTTCGATTTTCAAAGTCTTAGGGAGAGGCGTGATAAGTGCAGTGTTAAGTTCGTGACTGATATATTGCACAATCGTATTGATTGTTGCAATATATTGCATGATTTTAATTTCCTTGTCCCGCGTTTGAATGCTAGACCTTCTATTTGCCTACCCCTAGAACAAATATTTTAAAGTTTTCTCCATTGTATAGCTCATGTGGTAAGGCGAATGACATTGCGGATCAATTAGACATATTTCTCTGATGTCTTGTCTGCTGCGTGGTTCCTTATGATGTCTTATCTGCTATTTGCTATTTAATTTTTTATCTACACTGCCATTTTTGTAAATATTTGTATATAGTATCCTTGTGATTGAACTTCCTACATTTGTGTGTAGTATGTGAGATATTGTGTATTTTTGATATTTGGACTTTGTCCTACTCTGTAATTGGCTTTGTAGCTGTTGGGTAGAGTATAAATAAATAAAATAAAATAAATTGTTTATTAATGGCAATTTGAATGGACACATTTATTTGGATTTGTTGGAAAATACCATCAATCCGCTTATCACTGAAACCATTAAAAAGTAAATCGAAGAGGATGGGAACCCTATACTTGATGACGCTGAAATATATTTCCAGCAAGATGACGCACATACGGGTATTTGAATTAAAAATCCGGACAAAAGTCGTATCGTATCGCAAAACTGGTATGTGCCTAAGATGCCGGAACAGATGCTAGAAAAAGCCCCACACTTTTTTGTTTACCCACTGCTATTTCTCGCCAGTAGTCGCGGTGCGAATTTGATCATTCTTCATTGCTCACGTATCTGTTGTCAGCGTATTTATTGTGACGAGAATATTTCAAAGTTTTTACAAGTTCTGAGGCACCTATTTTGTCAATTTTAATTGTGATATCAGCTTATTTATTAGAAAAAATGACGTTTTCGCGAAATCTATGTTCCAATCATTTTTACCTTTGGTATTAATTAAACTCGAATGGGTTTGATGAATTTCTGGATGTATGATTTTGGTCTCAGATTATATAATTTGATCTTGGCTAATCATACAGACAGAAAATGTTTCCAACTTCATTCAAATTTCTGTATAATAGCCAAATCAAAGATGAACGTTCGTTTAAGCCATCACTTTTTTTTCTTTATAGGGCCCTCTGGAGTCAAGAAAAAAAATTTACATTATGCAAGGGTATCCCAATAACGACATTAACAAAAAATTGGACTAAGCTGACTATTTGTTGTTGAATTCTCAAAATTATTCAGAAGAACAACGAAAAGAAGTTATAGACAAATTGTCAAATCTAAAATCAGAAATAAAACGTAGATGGAATGCCGCACATTACATAGAAGATCCTTTTCAAACAAAATCACGACCAGGGCGCCCACAGAAATCTTTTATTAACATTAGCGAGCGAAGTAAAAGACGAAAAACAAAAGCAGTATGAGGTGAAATAAGTTCTGAAGAGTTGACTTTTGCCACTCATTGGAAGTTACGTTCTGAGGGCAAGACTGATGCTTCCAAGGTGATAAAAGACCTAATGCAATCTCCAACGCGAGCAAAAAAATATCGAAAAGCGTTATTCAATCTCAAAATGACGGAAAGCAGCTAGCAACCGTATTAACCCCAATCAAAGCATTGTCTATGTTTGTCGAAGCTGAACACCGACGTAATCGCCTTGAGTGGTGCAGACAACGGTCACTCTGGGATCAGGAATGGAACAGTATTGTCTTTAGTGACGAGTCTCGATTTTGTTTAGGCATGCACGATGGTCGTGCCAGGGTTAGAAGGCGACGTGGTGAAAGGAGGAATCCACAGTTTTTTGTTGAAAGACATGTTCATCACACTGTTGGCGTTATGGTTTGGGGTGCTATAGCTTATGGTTCCAGGTCACCTTTAATCTTCATCAGAGGTAACATGAACGCGCAGCGTTATATCCACGAAGTTCTAGAACCCCATCTTTTACCCTATCTTGACACCCTGGCAGATCCAACTTTCCAACAAGATAATGCCCGACCACATGTTGCAAGAGTCACAATAGACTTCTTTCAACATAATGATGTCACATTGTTACCATGGCCACCAAGATCTCCCGACTTATCCCCAATTGAGCACGTGTGGGATATGATGGGTAGGAGATTGCTCAATTTGCAACGTCCTCCTCAGACTCTAGAAGCACTAGAGGAGTTGGTGGTTGCCTGGAATGAAATACCACAGGAGGACATTGACCACCTGATCAGAAGCATGCCTAGGCGCGTTGGAGAATGCGTAGCACATCAGGGTGCATCCACACATTATTAAAGGTCAAAGGGCTTTAAAGCAGTGCAAATATTTTGAAATTTTTATCATTTACTTATAATGCTTCATTAAGTACTTATACAAAATTTTATTAAAATAAAACCATTTAAACTGGGTGTTCGGATTTATATGTCACTTAGTATATTAAATCATACTGATTGGCGGCTTTTATTGCATTTGACCGATGTTCTCCAGAATTTGAATAGTGAAGAAAGAAACACGCTAATTTTGACATATAAATGTGATGTGATGGATCACAGCAGGCAACATTTAATAAAAAAATTGAAAATAACTTCGATTCTCATACAAATATATTCCAAAGTTCATTTGTTCCGTTACAGTTGTCTTCTAGCGAAGGCAGTAAGATATTATGGCAGAACCCGTTGCCTTCTTCGCCACGATTTTGCCGACCCATTCGCATAAGATTTGTAAAGGAAACAGTAGATATCACAAACGAGGAAGTAAGTTATATAGAAAACAAAATAAAGTCTTTGTAACGTGCAATTAAACAAAAGCTTTCTAGTAAAACATGTAATGATGCTTACAATGGTTGATACGAAAGTCTGTAATGTCGCAACCCACACAAAATCAATCAATATCAATTTTGCATGCCAGAATAAGACTGTTTGAAGGAATGCTTCATATTGCGTACAAATTGCCAATGAAAAATGGCAATTAAGAAGTGAAAGAGATTAGTTCAACAAATTGGAGATACAAAAGGAATTTAGATCCCAAATGGGTCTTATAGTTGATGTTCCAAAAGCTGGTTTAGTTAACAGCAATGCTGGGAATACCAGTAGGGGATTTTTTACGGATCATGAGCTATCAGCAACAATAACCGGTGTAGATTCCCATCTCCTTTTTCGTCTTAAAGTAATTTTAGAAGCGATATCAAGCGGCCATAAAATAGACAAACAGAAATTTGAAATATTTTGTTTGGGCACGGCACAACTCTTGACAAAATAGTGCTCCATCGACCCATTGTCATTGAAAAACTTTATTGCCTCGCAATAAACACTTTCGTTTAAACCGCCAAAATTGTGCTCGGAAGTTCAGCAGAGAGTCTTGCAATCTTGATATCATAAATAGATTATTATTGAGCTCGAATCCCCTGATAACTGGCATGAGACCCACTCCCAGAAAAACTACAAAACCATTTCTCAAGGAAACTGTTGAAGCCTGAAGAACCGATGGGCCAGTCTAATTTGTCTGGTGATAATGATGATGATGATGATGATGAAGACTCTGCAGCAGAGATAGGAGACTATTTAGTAGCATAATTAACCATAAAAGAGCTAATTATAGTTTTTGAAGCAACTTTCAATGAAAAAAAAGTTTTGTCCGGATTTTTAATTCAAACGACGCTCCTCCTCACTATGTTCTTCTGGTTCGGCAATGGCTAGACGACGAGTTTCCAGATAAATGGATACAGCGATAAGGGCCTATAGAATGGTCTGCTAGATCTCCCGATTTGACGCCATTAGACTTTTTCCTATGAGGTCATTTGAAATCTATCGTGTTTACTCCCGAACATGAAAGTTTGGATGAACTTCGTCAACGCATCATCGAAAGCTGCCATGATATTCGACAACGTGTTTTTGAAAATATTCGTCAGGAATTTGGCCAATAACGGGCAAAATTTTGATCACTTATTGAAATAAAAAGTGATATTTTCATGTTCTTCTTTTCTATCTGAACAATTTTTTTCTAATTTTCTCGAAAACGATTCGACCGATTTTAAACATCAAACGTCAAAATGAATGACTTCGAAAGACCTTTTAAACAAGATATTACTCGATACCCCTTGTCATTTAAAATTTTCAAGGGGATGACCCTGTAGGACAGGGTGACAGGGGGTGAAGTAGTTTTTGGTTAAAAAGTTGTCCCCCTTGATAAATCTTTCGACATGACGTTTTTTCTTTTAATCAGTAGCTTTCAATAAATCCGTGGTTGGAAGTTTTCAAATGAACTGTATATTGCTAATCAGTTTTGAGAGGGGAAAGTGTCATCTGTATCTCACTGGAATGAGGGTATCTCGAAAAGCAAAAGGAATGTGCATTCTTCAAAATCTTTCGGAAAGTAACTCATGCAGAATATTATTCCTGGAATAGAAAGATAATTCAAACCAGCTATATTAATATGACAACTTTGTATTTTATAATTTTTTATAAAACAATTTTCTTATGAATTAAAGACATTCACATTACAAGAACCTAGAAATAGGATTAAAAATGAGACTTACGAACAATATATAAAAAATAAAATTTATATGCATCACGAATCTTACTAAATTAGGTTTTCAAAAAAATTCGAATATCAACAAGCATATAAGGTATACAGGTATCCTGATATTTGAGAATATATCCAAGCAGTAATCAAGATAATACATAGCAAATACATCTCAATTTGAGATGCCTGAACACAAAGTTGTTTTACGAATCAGGACCTCAAACTAGAATAAATCAAGAAATCGTTATAACGGCTGTTAGTCTAATCATATTAGCAAATTTCCTCGAAATAATTGTAAAGTCGGGTTTTATTGATGCAAGTTGTTCAACGGCGTGTTTAAAACATGGACGCATGAAATGGGTACACCAATTTTTGTGGGAAAACTTTTTATTCGACAACAAAGAATGAGAAAACGTGTTTTTTGGGATTAAAATGAAAGTTTTGGCATGAACGAAAAAACTCTTCAAATAAGATTTTTAGAAATTTATGAGACCTACAAAATGAGACCACACGTGAAAAGAGGTAAAATGCAGGTTTTACATGTAGCACTTGCTAAACCGACGATAATTTCACGCAGCTACTTGAAATAACCACAACAAAATTGGAGTCGATTGGTCAAGTAGTTTTTGAGAAATTCCAATTGTTTATCCCAAAACATCTGTATTCCGGCCATCATTACCAATTTGCTGAGCAATATACAGAGTTCATTCAAGGGGCATTTATATATTTATAAGCAAAATACACGAATTTACCTTGCCGATGTGAATCATAAACCATTTCCAAAGTTAATTGTTATTTTTATGCGAAAAACGAAGGGTTACATTTTTTCTTATTTTGCTATGATATTCGAAAAACATACTTTATTATATACATTTTAAAACAAAGCGGATGTGTCTATCACCTTTTGTTACGAAGAAAACAATTTTTTTCAAGATTTATTTATACTCTTGTGTATAAATATTTAGAGCTGAAATTTTTACACGGTCACAGATGAAAATATATACCAATATTGGAATGCGTTTAACTGTTTATAAAGTTAGCACGCAAACTGAAGACAATTATGTTTCAAACTGCCTTAGACTACTTAGTATGTAGCATGTGCTTTGTGATAAATAAATAAAAAAAAATTCCCTGGACCTGTTTTCTAAAAGTATTAATTTAGTATACGTATGTTTTCGAAATCTTGTTCGATTAAAACGACTGCGAGTTTAAAATGTTGGAAAATAAACTCAAGAAATCGAAAAAACAGTAGACAAATATCAACCAATTGTAGCGACCTGACCGTGTTAAGAATTACGCAAAATGCTCGTTATTAGTTCCTAATAAATTAATTAAAGATTCAGCATTGTATCTTGTATAGTTTTCAAGAGTATACTGTAATTGTTTATAAGAGATTTGATATGCCTCCAACGTTCACTTGACATTTGTTAGTCTTAAGTATATTGGTATAAGGATTCAGTAAAGCAAGAGGGCGTAATTTACTAGTAGTCGGATCTTTTTACGTGTGGTTGAATTTTGAAGATCTCATAAATACCTAGAAATCTTTTTTGAAGAGTTTTTTCGTTCCTGCCAAAAAGTGGTGTACCCATTTTATGTGTCCATGTTTTAAATACCCTCTTGAACAACTTGCACAAAAAAAACAGACTTTAGAATTATTTCGCGGGATATTCGTCTAATATGATTAGACTATGTGTAATAATAGTATTATATGAGAGAGCTACGATTATACCACTATTGATTTCGGGCATACGTCACCACAGGTGCCTCAAATAACTATCAATTTGGACTGGAAGGGCCGTTTTCGATTATCCTTTATTCAAGGACAAGGTTCTAATTTAAAAAAACAGTTGCACATGTACCATATAAAGATGTCAAATCATGTATATTTCCTGTAATATTACAGGGGAATCTCTAGTCGATATCAACACAAGAATACATTATGACGCTTGTATTGGGCAATATTTTCACTGCAATATAAAGTAAAGAAATTGCTACACCTTTGATATTTGCGACCTATTTTCATATCGCTTATCGCTGTCATATTGCTGAATTATTGGTATCCTACTTATATTAGTGCAATCATTTAGCAATTCTTGATTTTATACCCCTTTTGATGAGAAATTCTGACCAGCGTAGGTATCAACATATTGCAAACAATATTACCGAAATATAGCTGATATAGCCTGCAATATATTATAATTAAATTATGCTACAAAAATACTGCTCGTTTGGAAGTTACATTCTTCGTGGATTCCCCATTACACCCAATACCTGTACACCGTGTCAAGGTAGTACGCTGCCATCTCTATACACAACCCACATACTAGAAAACATACTTTTCAGTAATCTGTGGATACAAAATAACGGTGATACCAGTTGGCGTTAACGGAATATATTGCATCGAAATTGTGTGCTTCACAAATGCATAGTAAAAAGGTATGAAAGGCGTTTTCAAAAATGATCAACTTTGACCGACACACTATTGGCTGCATGGTTGCTAGGCAATAGGATGTTGTCCCAGTTCGTTTGCAGCTCTTGCTCGGAATCGGTCGCTTTCAGACTGACTCCTAAGCTGGGCAGTGTGTTAGCGTAGTGCGGGATGTTCAGGATCACAGGCTTCAGAAATTCGGTACCTGGAATTAAAAAAAAATAATGGTTTTTCCAAAATAATTTCTGAATGACGCTGTATAATTCCATAAAATACTGACAGCATAATAACTAACATCACATGACGATGTCGCTAGAAAGCAATGAACTTTTAGATTGTCAGGGACAGGCCAGCTCTAACTCCTACGTCCTGTATAAAACTGCCTGAAAAATTTATTTTCTCTTGTTTTACATCGATAAAATGTGTTGCTTTTAAGAAATACACAGTCTGCTTTCGGCAGTTTTATCAACCATGATACTGGTTGCATTATACTGGTTCCACCATTTTTAATATACAGGGAAAACAATTTTGTCTGACGGCTTGAGTTTAATGTGTACGAGAGAGAGGCGCGAGAAGTGTGTATCAAAACATGTTAGAAAGAAATAGAAGCCGGCTAAAGAACAAATGTCATCCACCACATTGCCTAGCAGCGGTGATGCAGAAGGTCGTGCAATATGCCGCGTTGCCAATATGTTACACCAGAAAATGCTTCTACTATAGGTTAGGTTACTGTCAAACCCAAGAAGGAGGTCTGTTCATGTAATTTAATATTTTGTTTTCATTCTGATTAGAATTATTTACCTATTTATTTCAATTTTGATGCAGTTTAATTTCTTTTAGAATTATCTTTGATTTCCACCGATGATGATAAAATCAACACATCCTGAGTTATTGATACATTTTGGGACAACGAGCGGTCAGAAAATGTAACAAATACGATTACGCAATGTAAAGTATCACTGTCTGCGTGTACGCAGATGAAAACCATTTTGAAGCAGGACGACGCTCCCCAATGAGCGCTAGTTCGGTACTGACCAAAATCGCTCATCTATGATCATGTAGGTGGAATACCTTGCCTTGGAATGTACGAGATGCGGTGTTGCCAAGCGAAAGAATGATGCAATGTTGCAGAATTTGTGGCGATCCTGACCTATCCATTTCGACGTAAAATGGATCGCCGTTAGGACTGATCTGGAATCGATCCTGAACAGATTCGACACAATTCACAAATCAAAAATGTGTACGCTCCAAAAAAAAACATTATTTGGGCGTAGAGAATAAACTAACGAATATTTTCAACATGCATCTTGATTCAAGGAACTGCTGTAACGTATTGGCAACGCGACAGATTGCCGTATCAACGTGTCTATACACACTTCGCTCTCGTAGAGCCGTTAGACAAATTTGGTGTATACTACTTCTGATAATATGTACATTACCAGAGAATCAAAAAAACCCTAGTCATACATTTTTAGGCTTTTGCCCAACATTTTGGGGATCCGCTGCATTGTGAATCGATAGAAACAGTATTGGAACAACATTATTTTTCGCAGAAAGGCTTATTTTATCGATGTCAGCTAATGAATCAGGTTTTCCAAAAATATAATTTTTGAGTCATTATTATTCAGGGCGTGAAAAATAGCAATATTGCGTTAGGTCTAGTCCCACCCTGTTAAACAAAAAACAAAAGTAAATCGTTTTTTATGATCATCATGTGAGATCCTGAATGGCTAATTGTTGCCAAAAATTTGTATTTCCGCCTTACCCAGTATTGTTAAGGATGTCTTTTTTTGTATTCTATACCAATTCAAGAGGTAGTACATTATTTTGATGTGCCCTAGGGTGGCAGCTTAATGTTTGAGACAAAAACACGACTATTGGTCTTTTTAAGGTTTTTGGCGGCTCCAGGAATTATTTTCATACACCCATCTCCCTCATATATATATATATATATATATATATATATATATATATATATAAAGAGAAAATAATCATGCGGAGAAATGTATATAACAAAAAAATAGGAAAATAATGGGCAAATTCCGCCAAAAGGAGGAAAGTGGATTCGAGCAGAAAATAGGATAGGTAACCCGAGCGATACGTATTTCTGCTGGTTGGCTTCATCAGGCCCGAAATGAATGCACATATGCAACTACAAAAGTAGATACATATGCTCATACATCCCGATACGGGTGTAACCTGAGGAAATAAAGATGGATGGGAAAAAATTACACACGAAGTCCACAACAAGAGCCAACCTACACATTGTAGTATAGAATAGCTAGAAGACCTCGAATTTTCAAGGCGACATCTAACCACAACCACGCGGCCGGTATAGCAACTTGCTTTTTGCGGAATTTGCCCATTATTTTCCTATTATTTTTGTTATATATATATATATATATATATATACAGGGTGACTTCGAAGTTGAGTCATTTATTTTAACAGTGAGTAGATCTGATCAAAAGAAATGTTTTTTTCCTTTACCATTTTCCTGGTAAAATTAAAGTAACAAAGTTATAGCCCTTTGGAAGTTTGAGTACCGCCCTGTCTCAATAATAATATTATGTGGTCGTGTTTGGCGACAACGGATATAATCCGCCGTATCGGTTCATCGCATCGGAAACAAAAAAGCGAAAGAATTTGGAACGATGTTTTATTTCATTCATTTGTATACAGTCAGTGTCAGTGAATAGTGGTATCTGTTGCGTGGCTCAAACGAAATAAAAAATGGCACATGTTTATGCGGATCGGTTTCCCAATCGAGTGCAACCAACCCCTCGTACCTTTGTTAATGTAGTACAACGGGCTCGTGAATCAGGTGACTTAAGACCTCACAGGGGACCTCACGATCAAATACAGGTCCGCACTGAAATACTTGTCGGGAGGATACTTTATAAAACAAGGTAAACATTTTTTTTTTAATTTTTTTTTTATTTTTACACACATATTTTGGTTTATCTTCCTTCTACAATCATTATCTGAAAATTAATGACTCAACTTCAAAGTCACCCTGTATATTCTGTGCGGACGTTCGTCTATATAGTGTGTCGCTTTTCTATACAGGGATCTCGACTCCTGTCATATCTACAGAAAGATTAAATAGGGAATGTTTTAGATTTAGAGGAAACTGAGTGCATTCGATAGCCGGCTTCCGATTTTCGATCGGTGAATTGGTTTTAGAAATATCGGCAAAAAACCGAAAATGTCGAATTTTGCTTTTTGCCAGTAAATCCGAAACGGTTAATTTGACAGCTGTTAAAATGTGACATTATAATTTTTTTAATGCAAATAAGCTTGTATGGCATGTCTCAATCGTCTTTTGTTTTCCTGCAACCTGTCCCAACTTTTATTTTTCTTATGGCCGCCAAATCGGACTTTTCGATTTTTGAAAAGAGCGTTAAATTTCCAGCCTAGTGATGTATCACAAGTGCATAAAAGATTATCATCGAAATATCATCACACGTAATGTTATGTATTAGTTTTTTTTTTTCTAAGGAGACCATAACCTATTTGTCATAAAATAACATTAATGAGTAAGGCATAAAAAACACAAAACACCTTGAATGTTCACTAGAATATTAACGTTAATATCGACTTCTCAACAGGTCAAATGTTTTTGGACACATTCCCAAATATGAGTGTGTTAAAAAACAAGTCAGAAAAATCGTCGTAAATTTATTTTACCCTTGGACAAACAAAATTGTAATGTAATGTAAAATGTAATTATGCAAGTGGGTATTACTTTACAGATTTGAAAAATAACGTCCATTTGCATCCAGACATTTTTGACACTTGGTAACTGTTTCTCTGCCGCGTTACCAACATGTTACATCATTCCTTGAATTAAGATTCATGTTGAAAAAATGCGTTAGCTTATTCTCTACGCCCAAATAATGGTTTTATTTGGAGCGAACACATTTTGAAATGGTGTATATATGAATGTGAATATATGTATGTCCAGTCTCTCAGCATCACGTATGAATCACAATACAGAAAGAAGAAAAAATTTCTACACAGATAATTAGCTGTTGCGACAAGTACCAGAATCTCCCCTTTCAGCGATTTTTGAAAATCCGATCCCAACGTTTCCCAGATGATAGCAAGCAAAGGGAATTCTAAATAACCAATAATATCATGTGAGAGAAAAAAAAAACACGAAAGACCCGCCTATAAGCCACACACCTAGCAGATCGTCCGTAATATTCTGCAGACGATAATCGTATTGGTTGACGAATCAGCGTCAAACATTTTTTATTTCTGTTTACTGATAAGAGCGAAGTTTTTTCTGTATTGCGAGAGAAGTGTGTAAAATAAACTCTTCGATTTGTATTGGTGGAGTAAGTATGTTTCTCATTTATTTGCATTTAGCAGCTATATTTTGCAAACAATAATCGTATTGGTTACAAATCAGTCATTTCTGTGCGACAATTCTTTCTGCCGATAAGAGCTCTGGAAAAAATTTGCTTGAATTAGTCGAATTTTATTTCGAGGTAAACATTTTTTGCACCTATTTAGTGTTACAAAAAACACGATTTTTTAGAAAAAATCAAAAAATATGATTCTTTCGATTAAATATAAAATGTTTGAATCTGAAATAAAAAGACCGATCGTTTTTTGTGCAACGTACATATACAGGGTGTCCCGAAAAAAGCGTGCAATATTCTACCAGCGGTTTCTAGAGCTTAAAATAGGAAGAAAAGTTTATATAAACATAGGTCGACAAACGTCCCCTAAGGGCGTTACGGTCTTTTAAAGGGGCTCCCCTAAAGATGTTTTTTCCTTAATATTTCCGAAACGTGTTGAGATAAGGACATAAAATTTGGTATTCCAACGTAGTTTTTCACGCTGGATTTAAAAATATTAACAATTTTAGACAGGTTTGTTTGGAAGCATATGTAACAGGGACGGACTCAGGTTATTTTAGCCCCAAAATTTTTGTGTGATTCTATTTTTGAAATTCAACTTTAGAATTTCAAAATTTAGGGTTTTCTACATAAAAAAGGTACTCTTATTGAATATCGATAAATTGTGCCATTTTTTAATAGAATCAAACTAAAAATATTGTCACATGATAGGATAGGAAATGTAAATTCTAAAATTGAATTTCAAAAATAGAATCACAAAAAAATTTTGGGGCTATAATAACCTGGGTCCGTCCCTGTTACATACGCTTGCAAACAAAACTGTCTAAAATTGTTAATATTTTTAAATCCGGCATAAAAAACTAGGCTAGAATACCAAATTTTATGTCTTTATCTCAACACGTTTCGGAAATATTAAGGAAAAACCATCTTCAGGGGAGCCCCTTCAAAAGACCGTAGCGCCCTTAGGGGACGTTTGTCGACCCATGTTTATAAAAACTTTTCTTCCTATTTTAAGCTCTAGAAACCGCTGGTAGAATATTTCACACTTTTTTCGGGACACCCTGTATAGAACATAGCAACTGTAATGTTTTAAATTTATTGGAGTATTTTCAGAAAATGACGGGAGGAATGGTCCTTTCTCGTCCAGTTCATATGTGTCCAAGAGCGAGCATTAAGGATCGACTTACGTAGTCTACAATTTCCCTTAGGGAAGTCAAGCACAGCACATGTATCAGTTAGTCAGTTTGTTTACCTATTTCATCTGACATTGTAAAATAACCGCTAAAAACCGTGAAAAGTCCTTTATAAAAATTTTCCAACATGTTCGACATTTTTTCATTTATATAAATCGAAAAGACGAGAATCTCAACAGCATAAACACAATGTTAGGCATTTTACAAAATTCAAAGTTCTGACGCAAGCTATACTAAGTGACATATAAATCCGAACACCCAGTTTAAATGGTTTTATTTTAATAAAAGTTGGTGAATATATTTATCTTACTGTAAATAACAAGTGAAAAATTTTTCAGCCTTATCAGTTGGACATTCCGGTTTTTATACTGCTTTTTTTAAATCACTAACACTCTAAAAATGAATATTTCAGCCGCAGTAAAGAATCAACGTTGGCGGATTTTGGTTCTTGACATCCTTTACGATCGGTTACGATGCCTAGAGTACGGAGACCTGTACGAATTCGACAACTTAGTGAGTTTGATAGTTGCCGTATAGTGGGACTTCGGGAAGCTGGACTTTCTTTTCGGGCAATTGCAGTTAGAGTGCAAAGAAGTGTAGACTCTGTGGTTAGGTGTTGTCAGGCATGGCTTCGAGAAGGCTGTACGCAAAGAGCAAGGGGCACTGGACGCCGCCGTAGAACAACAGACCGTGAAGATCGCCGCCTAAGATTATTGGCCTTAAGGGACCGTTTCTCCACTACCAGGTCCATTGCAAATGAATGGTTTGCAGAACACGGAAGACCTATTGGCATGCGAAGTGTTTACCGACGAATGAGAAGTTTTGACTTGTTTTCATACCGGCCACACTGGGTCCTCCCTTTAACTCGAGAACACCGACGTAATCGCCTTGAGTGGTGCAGACAACGGGATCAGGAATGGAACAGTATTGTCTTTAGTGACGAGTCTCGATTTTGTTTAGGCATGCACGATGGTCGTGCCAGGGTTAGAAGGTGACGTGGTGAAAGGAGGAATCCACAGTTTTTTGTTGAAAAACATGTTCATCACACTGTTGGAGTTATGGTTTGGGGTGCTATAGCTTATGGTTCCAGGTCACCTTTAATCTTCATCAGAGGTAACATGAACGCGCAGCGTTATATCCACGAAGTTCTAGAACCTCATCTTTTACCCTATCTTGACACCCTGGCAGATCCAACTTTCCAACAAGATAATGCCCGACCACATGTTGCAAGAGTCACAATAGACTTCTTTCAACATAATGATGTCACATTGTTACCATGGCCACCAAGATCTCCCGACTTATCCCCAATTGAGCACATGTGGGATATGATGGGAGGAGATTGCTCAATTTGCAACGTCCTCCTCAGACTCTAGAAGCACTTCGAGAGGAGTTGGTGGTTGCCTGGAATGAGATACCACAGGAGGACATTGACCACCTGATCAGAAGCATGCCTAGGCGCGTTGGAGAATGCGTAGCACATCAGGGTGCATCCACACATTATTAAAGGTCAAAGGGCTTTAAAGCAGTGCAATCATTTTGAAATTTTTATCATTTACTTATGCTTCATTAAGTACTTATACAAAATTTTATTAAAATAAAACCATTTAAACTGGGTGTTCGGATTTATATGTCACTTAGTATATTTTGAATAGACTAAAAAAAACGTTTTTACTCTTACCTTGCGGTCCACACATTACGAGAGGCGACAGCATCCTTTCACCTGTTATAACAAACAAAAAACCAAAATTAATCCTCCATCCACACGAATGTACACTGGTTTCCACAAGCTCGCATGCAAATATCACACATACTCTACGACTACGAAAATTACCGTTGTCCAAATCCAGTGGCGGAACATTGTCGCACAGCCTGGGATCCGAGACCACGAAGTATATCCTCTTTTGTTGACCTTCTGGAATCGCACCAGGAGGCACTACTAGTGACACGCCCCAGTATTGATTCACTAGAGTTGCTCCATCACTGCCCACCATAGCGGAACTCACGTCTCTTGGGTTCGGATTTGACAGATCCGGTCTGTTTTTATTGACATCCTGCAGCATTTGGTTCTCGTTGATTTTCTCTGGCTGCCCTATCAGCTTTTTGCTCATCTTTGGTGTGCCTTCGCGGCTTTTCCTCGTGAACGACAGCTTTCGGAATATTTTAGGTGTGCTGAAGCCGCTCTCTGATTTTTGGTGTTTGAACGATTGCGTTTTAGTTAGTTTGGGTGTTATTTTGGGCGAGTTAGTAGCAGTGGACGAGGGCGAATGATTTAAGATTTGGGGTATGTTAGGCTGTGATCCGTACAAAGCTGGTTGGTGGTGGTAGTGACGTAAGTGTTGCTCCACCAAGCCCCTTGAAACCAACAAGAAAGATATTTGTGAGAAATTATGAAGTGATGATTCACAAATGGAATTACTACAATTTACGAATTCTGATGTTTTTATTTTTTTTTATCCAACTGAAGTTGCACAAATAGATTGTGAGTAGCACCTTATCTTTTTTACTGCAAGTTTAGCCACTGTAAGTGATGATGGTTCTGTAAATAGTTCCTTCACCAAGCAGGCATACAGTAATTACGCATTTAAAGGCTTATCTTCAAATGCAGAAGATATGCATTTATGAATAAGAACAGTGTTTCCAAAATAAGGGAAAAAACTAGATTGGTTCTTCCTTGAACTACCCAAACAATATTTTGTCCCTCATGTAAGGCTTAGTATACAAAAACGTTCAGAATAAGCACGTATCTTCGCAAAGAACTATACTTTTCGCGTCATCGACTGCCGAAATCTATATGCAGGGTGGCGTATCAAAAACGAAACAGACGCATTTACTGGCAGCTCAGTTTTTTGTTTGAAGAACGCTCAGGCCCGTCGCTTTTGTTTTCGAGGGGGACACAAGTTTGGCAAAAAATCACGTTAGCACGTGCAGCCCCCTAAGCGGGGGTGACGCCACCCCCAAAATCTTAAATGGAAAGGGGGTCGAGTGATACCTTATTTTAAAGGTCTCTCAATCCCCTTTATAATGATATGAAATTAATGTACTTCAGTTCAGTAGTTTTGAAGATTTATTGATTTAAAGCTTAAATAAATCTAATACATCATCATTAGTGGAGATCAATACATTTGGCAGCAAAGTAATTTAAAAATGGAGAATGAACTGACCCGTTAGGCAAGTAAATGTTGAAAATGGCCACCATGACTCTCCATGCAATAATAAAGATTTTGCTCAAAACGTTGCCGCACATTTTGCAATATTTGAGGAGTAATTTGAAGGCACTCATTCACAATTCTTTGTCACAGGTTTTCTAATGATGTTGGCTGAGTAGCATAGATTTTGCTTTTTAAATGACCCCACATAAAGAAATCCAAATGTGATAAATCTGGCGATCCTGTGGGCCATTCAATGGCACCTCTTCTACCAATCCATCGATCAACCTATTCGCAATGTACCGCCGATCATTCTGATTTTCAATTATGGCTGTTAATACATGATCTATGGGTCTTCCAGTAATTCCAAATACATTTCACCGGTCAAATTTCCAGGTACGAAAAAAGGACCAACTAAATGATCGCCAAAAATACCAGGCCAAACATTTAATTTTTGTGGCTGCTGTGTATGAACCTCATGATAAATTCTGGGATTAGAATCGGACCAATATCGGCAGTTATGACGATTTACTATGTCATTTAAGAAAAAGGAACATTAATCGGAAAAGTAAGTGTTGAATAGAAAATGTTCATCGTTTATAATTCGTTCGGTCATATCTTCACAAAATTGTAATCGCCGATCAAAATCGTCTTCATTAAGTTCTTGTACCAGGTGAATTTTATACGGATGAAAACTATGGGCCTTTAGAATCCGTTGGACAGTACGTCGACACCACACACAGTCTCCAATTTGCGGATACTTAACGTAGGATCTACATAAACTTGCCCTAAACCCCCACTTCTATTGCTTCGTTCCTTATGGGATTTTAAATGTTGCGTTTTTTATTGGCGACTGACCCAGTTTCCCGAAATTTACCTACGAGTTCTAGAACATATTTTCGATGCACTGTACTCATGTCGCTCATTAAATATTTCTGCTGTTCTATTAGCGCACTGATTATTTCAGAAAAACATTTCAATAATGTGAACTCTTTCTGCTGTGGAATATACCACGGTTAATTTATGTAATAAAGCGTTACAAGTTATTTTAGCAAAAAAGTTTGGTCAAATCAATCGCAAACTATGTACTAAATTCCTATTTAAAATAAGTACGAGATATTTCCTTATCTTTCTTCAAGAAATAACTTTTTTGCCACAAAAAAACGCTCCGATAGCTATTTTCAACAACAAAATGATAAACAAACCATGGGCGTAGTGAAGAAAAGCATTTACTTATTAAGTAAATTCTTTTAGTCAAATTTCTTCTGAAAGTAGTACAAACTAATCTGATGTACCTATTAAAGTCTACTTTAAGCTTTAAATCTTCAAAACTACTGAACTGAAGCTCATGTATTTTAAATCATTATTTTTCCATTTAAGATTTTAGGGTTGGTGTCACCCCGCCCAGGGGGCTGCACCTGTTAACGTGATTTTTTGCCAAACTTGTGTCCCCCTCGAAAACAAAATCGACGGATCTGAGCGTTTTTCCAAAAAAAAAAACTGAGCTGCCAGTAAATGCGTCTGTTTCGTTTTCGATGCGCCACCCTGTATAAATATAGCAGAACTATTCTTACCATTTAAGTGCAGTATGATTGCTCGGAAGTTTTTGATAGAAAATACGAAGAGTAATTTATACAGGGCGTTTCAAATTCGACCCTCTCCACAAAATGCCGCTTAGAAAGTTTCGAAATGCAAAGACCTTTCGGAGAGAGAGAGAGAATTTTCCCAAAATCGTTTTAAATTTCCTCCTGATTTTATTTGTGGTGGGATTTCAAAATAAATTGCAAATTAACACTGCCACTTTTTCTTCTCTACAAGATGGCATGATTGGCATTTCAATATGACATTTCGTTTCTTGTCCTCCGGCATCAACTTCATTTTTTCTTATGGACGCATATCGGATTTTCGCAAGATGAATAGAGTGTTTAATTCTGATACCAAAAATGTATACACGTCATACGTTGACGATGCCAAACCTCAGTTATTTCAAAGGCCTTGATATCATCAGATAGTCATTTTTTTCGTATAGGTACCAGATTTATCCGAAAATCACTTTTTCTGACTTCTTTTGAGATGGGATTTTAAAATAAATCGCATGTTGCCATTGTTACTTATTCTCCTATACAAGATGGCGTAGACAAATTATCAATTCGACATTTCTTTTTTCGACTTTCATAACTAACTTTATTTTTTCATAGAGACGCTATATTAGAAAAGGTATGGTGAAAACTGAACACAAAATGAAAATTGTATTGATGGTAATAACAATAATAATGCTCAAAATGTTGTCCGTTATTTTTTAGGTAAAACCCGACTTCTTTCTTCTCAAACCTCCAAAGTCTGTAGTATGTTCAATTTTAGGTCTGGTATACGAAACAAATAATAATAATAATAATAATAAAACGCCTTTTATTAAAGCGCGAAGTTTAGCTTGAAGCTATTCTGACACTTAACCCAGATGAGATCTGATAATTTCAACACCTACCTAGGAACGTCTATTTTTCTGGAATAACTAGGGTTTGACAATATCAATGTATATGTTATATATTTTTGAAATCAGAATCTAAAACTCTATTCATCTTCCCAAAAATCCAATATGACGTCCATGAGAAAAAAAGATAGTTCATGCTGAGGGCAAGAGACGAAACGTTATATTCAAATTCTAATTATGCCATCCTGTACAGGAGAAAAAGTGGCAATGCTAATGTGGAATTTATTTTGGAATCCCATTACAAATAAAGTCAGGAAAAGATAAAAGTGTTTTGGGATTAATCTACAAAGTAATAATAATAATAATGTTTATTTGCAACATACAGTTAGGTAAAAATAGTAGTAAAATATATTTAAATGAGATATGTTACAAAAAAGGGCTGAAGGCATTTAAAAATGATACAAGTTCAGCCCTTTACCTATTACACATTCATATATATATATATATATATATATATATATATATATACGTATATATATATATATAAAAGAAAGATCTACCTTAAAAAGCCTCGAATAATAGAAGTGAGTTATAGTACAAAAAAACATTTTTTTTTTCATTAGTTTGGTGACACAAATGATGATGATAATTTCAGGGCCTACCTAAGAAATTCTCCTTTTTTTTAAAAGATAATTAAGGTTTGGCAATGTCCATGTATGACATACACGTATTATGCATATTTGGAATCAGAATTAAAAACTCTATTCTCCTGTGCAAAAATCCAGTATGGCATCCGTAAGAAAAATAATGTTTGAGGACAAGATATGAAACGTCATATTGAAATTCTAATTATGCCATTTTGTAGAGAAGAAAAAATGGTAAAGTTAATGTGTTTTTTGAAATCAAACTACAAGGTCAGGAAACCATTAAAACGATTTTGGGCAAATTCAGTTTTTCCATCTGTCTCCGGAAGTACTTTGAATTTCAAAACTTTTTAAGCGGCATTTTGTTAATTACCTAAATACGCAACTTTGCCCCCATTTAAGCGACTACGTATCTCTTACAGGGTCCGAGCTCCCAATGATGAAGGTCGAATTTGAAACACCCTGTATATTAATGAAGTTCTGATATATACATATAGTAAGCTCGATGTCCAAATTTAAATCCCCTAGGTTATTCCTTTAAGACCAGTGTTATTAGCTTAAATAATTACTGTCAAATATCATATAATTGGTGGAAAATCGTTAAGAAATGAAAAATTTCAGCATTCCATGTGAAGGAAAAAATAGTCTTGATATTCTGAATGTTTGCTATCTATCTGGAAAACACCCTATACATATAGGAACCTGGTACTCTCAAAATACTGAGTGAGAGATATCATTATTTCATTGTGGCTTATGGCTAACAGAAATAGAAATTTTAGTAACTTTCATCTTTTATATTGATTCAAATAAAATCAATTTTTTGACCATTTGTATTCCACAAATTATTATTTTTTTCAAATGCCAGAAAATTTATACAACTCTGGTCAATAATTCTTAGTGCTTTACGCTTTTGAATTTCGCTATTATCACCACTTTTCAAAAATATGGAATCATTCTTTTTTTAGATTGCAGATAACGTGAAGCACCCAGTTTTCGAATGCCACTTGTAAAGGATTCAGTGCTTCTATTTCATTTTAGTGCTAAACACCGTTACCATAAAAATAGTAAACATCACTAAAAATATGATTAAGTTTAAAAAAATCACAAATTAGCGCACAAAATTAAAGCACACGTTCTACCAATAACACACAGCAGCAGGCATTTAACACAGGACAACAGACACTAAAGTGACGTACCAGGATCTAGCAATCCAACATGTAGTGAATCCTGTACAAAAATATAAAACATACTTAAAAATACGCTAAAATATACAGAAGCAACCAGTGTACATCACAGCAAACAAACACAAGTGAAGCAGACTGGCATATTTTTGTAGCTAAGTGTCGGATCAGTTAAAAATAAAGGGTAGATCTATTTTAGTCGTTTTCAGT